AGAAGGGTAAAAATCACTTACGAATGAGATCACTGTGTTTAAACATATTGCTAGACACCAGTGGGGGGAGGTTTCAACTCCTCCCCAATTCATATGAGAACATTGCTGGCTGTTCCCCTTCCTCAGGGAGTGAGGAGAAAGTGCACAACTTGCTCCATTCCTCAGTCTAGCTGAGGAGTGCAGGGAGCAGAAGAACCTGGACCTGCCCCAGCTGAGAGACATGCACTCCTCCCCTGTCTATGCCTGCTGGAGCTGCCTTGGAGAGGCACTTCTCACCTGGTCCCAAGCTACTGTGCTGAGAGAAGGCTGGGGAAGTCCTCTCTCTCCAGGGCAGTCTGCATATTGAACCCTTCATCCCAACCCCACCCTAAAGCAATGATTTAAATGAAGAAAAACAAAAAATTAATCATGACTTGAGCAATGCTGGGTAAATCTTCTAGGCTACGTCTAGACTGGCATGATTTTCTGCAAATGCTTTTAACGGAAAAGTTTTCCGTTAAAAGCATTTGCGGAAAAGAGTGTCTAGATTGGCACGGACGCTTTTCTGCAAAAGCACTTTTTGCGGAAAAGCGTCCGTGCCAATCTAGACGTGCTTTTGTGCAAACAAGCCCCGATCGCCATTTTCGCGATTGGGGCTTTTTTGCGCAAAACAAATCTGACCTGTCTACACTGGCCCTTTTGCGCAAAAGGACTTTTGCCCGAACGGGAGCAGCATAGTATTTCCGCAAGAAGCACTGATTTCTTACATGAGATCGTCAGTGTTCTTGCGGAAATTCAAGCGGCCAGTGTAGACAGCTGGCAAGTTTTTCCGCAAAAGCAGTTGCTTTTGCGGAAAAACTTGCCAGTCTACACACAGCCCTAGTGTTTATATAAAGGGATATGGATAAACCAGGTATCTGCTGTAGTTGATCTTATCCCAAGGGGCAGTTTGCTAAAGGAGACTTGTTAAACATTAATTGCTTCTGGGAGAAAAGATGATTCAGGCTCTTTGCATTCAGAAGAGCCTGGCAATAGGGTAGAGTTTATTTTGACAGATTCTTAAGACCTTAAGGCTCAAATACTGTCATTTAGTAAACATTGTGGAAGAACTTCCTTGTCCTTCTGGTCATCTGTCCTTCAGGGGGAATTTTGGGAAGGCACTAGAGGACTATTGGCTCTCAAGTAATTTAGTCTGAGTCCTCGCTGCTAAGTGGGTATAGTGATAGTCTCAGGCGTTTGCCCACAGCCACGGACAAGCCAGCCAGCTTGGGTTTAAAGCATCATCAGAATCAGGGATATGGTTTTTGTGAGTGTGGTTGTGGCGGGAGAAAGGGGCAACACCTGAGTAAGAGTCTAGAATTCCCTTTGCAGTGAAGAGGACTTGAGTTAGTTCAAGGATCTTAGGTATCTTTTTTTTTTTCATACAAATGTTGGGTTTAAAAGATCTTACAGTGAATGGGCCACTGATTTAGATCAAATGTCTAGGGCCTAATATGAGGGAAGTGACCTTTCTTGAACCATTAGTGCTCCCCAGGCTTTAAGTGTAGGCTTTGCATGGTGGAAAGAGAACAGAGGCTGAGTGCTTGGGTGGGTCTGACTCACGGATACAGAAAATGGATTGAAAGAATGACCGGAATCAGGAGATTCATATAAAATATATTGTTCATGAATCCTTATTCTAGCCAGTGAACCAGGGTATGTCCCAGTTATTTATTTTCCATTAATAGTTTGCAACATACAAAAATGTCTGTCAGTCTCTTTAGTAAATTTGTAGTCTAATAACATTGATATGTTACTGAAATCCAATAGCATCAAAGCATTATATGGGCCATCTGGATATATCCCTGTGTCTGTAAAAACATGTGATTGCACAAAGTCATTCAGGACCTTATTGGAGAAATAATTTTAAAGTGGCCACCTTAGAATAAGCAAAAGAAATGTACAGCTTGCAAACCAAAAAGAATTGGAGAAAGTAACACAGACCATTCCTAAAGTCTTAATCCATGTGAAGGCTAGTACAGTAAAACTCCAATTTTCCGGCATCCAGTGGTCCGGCACTCCTGATAGTCCAGCACCAACTGGAACCCGGAAGTGCTCTGGCCAGCCAGACAATTGGAGCTGCTCCGCGTGGCTTCCCCAAGTCCACTGCTGCCGCTGCTGAAACAGACCAGCTGAGGACTTGGGGAAGCGGCGCAGAGCAGAGCAGCTGGGGGA